GGGATAGGAATTGGGACGGGAACAGGAGCCTGGGCGGGAGCCGGGGCTGGGGCAGGAGCTGGTGCGGGTTCAGCTGGCTTCTGCTCCGTTACAGGCGCAGCAGCAGGCTTCTCGGGGGCAGGGGCAGGGGCAGCGGTGGTAGCAGGAGCGGCAGCGGCAGCAGGAGCAGGAGCAGGAGCAGGAGCGGCAGGTTTCTTCTGAGGAGGCGGCGGCGCCGGTTTGGCAAACAAGCTAGCCCAACCCTTCTTTGTGCCCTCCGGGATCACACTGCTCTTGGGTGCCTCCTTAGCGCTGTCGTCAACAGTTTCTGCAGCAGCTGGCTCGGCATCGACGGTCTTTTCGGACTTGATAGCCGCGGCAGGCTCAGGAGCAGTCGTAGTCGTAGCTGTGGTCTCCTCGACAGAAGTGGCGACAGCTGGCTTCTCCGTGCGAGTTCCATTGGTATGAGCACCGGCCCGACCACCACGACCTCCACGACCACGGTCACCACGGGCGCGACCACGACTTTCAAAGCCACCACGGCCACGACCTCGAACCGAGGGGGCGACTGTCTCGACAGGAGTGCTCTGTACCTCCTTGGTCTTAGGGCGGCTGCGGTCCGTAGTCTTCTTCTTTACCTCGCCCCATTGAGCGACATTGCCTGTGCGAATAGAAGCAGCAGCGTCAGCAAAACCCAGAAGCACTGAGCTATCCCAAGTAGCAGTAGGGAACCATACCTTCACTAATGCGATCAATTGCCTCCTCAAGGTCACCATTTGCATCCTCCAGAGCGAAGACCAGATCCTCATCAGTCCAATCAGAGAACAGCTCCTTCAGCATGGGCAGAGTATCCGAGTATTTCTTCTTCATCTGACCAAGTTCTCCCTCGTCTTCAAATGCGGTGGGTGCGCCGTCTGAGTTGTCTGCCTTTGTGGATCTGCTACCACCTCGACCACCTCTGGAGCTATAGCCGCCACGGCCACCACGGGCAGATACCCTGCCACGAGAGGCAGAAGGCCTTGTTTGAACTTCAGACATATCTGTTGATGGTATTTATGGTTCTCCCGTATGGAGAAATAAGATGAAGGAATCGGAGAGGACCCAACGTGGACGAAGGGAGGAAATCAAGGTGCGGCTAGTGGGAAGAAAAAGCGGGTAAAAAGGTCGTAACTTAGTACGGTAGCAATGATGAGATGCAGCCTCACGAGAGAGGTCAGCACCAGAACCACTAAGGGCACACAAGGGCCGCCGGGATTTTGTTTTGGGAGGGAGGAAAGAGGAGAAGAAAGAGACCGAAAGAGTCGAGAGATAGAAAAAGGATGCAAAAGACACAAGAAAAGATAAAAAGGAAATAATAATTAGAGGTGAAGGGGGAGGAGGTGCAGAAAGTTTAGTAGGGAAAGACTACTACTTAGCAGCAGATCGAGTTCATTGAATGGATGGGGTTCGAGGTGTGGATGGGACGGAAGGGGAAGAGAAGGCGACTTTCGGTCGGTCGCGTTGGTTGCCCGCGCCCCGTTTTTAGCGAGCATGCGGTCCTGGGCAGTGTTACCTGCTTTACCTTACCGCGTCCAATTTACCACCCATCATTGGGATAGTACTACTACTTACTATTACTTTGCCAACTGACTTCTTGCTTAGCTACAGTGCTACTGGTGCGATTGCAGGAAATGTGATTGGAGATGATGGTCCCAGATGGTACTTACTCTTTTTAGTGAGGTAGAGCTGCTCTACCAATCGGTATGTTACTTACCTCGTACCACCTCGCCTGATGGGCGTTCCGAGTCTTTGGGTTCGCTCTGTCGATGATTTCGTCATCACTACTCCGTACTATTCCTAGTATTATGACGATGGCATTGTGGAAATCATATGAGCCAGGATGGTTCTTTCAAATTCGTGGCGGACCGGCACCTGCCATTCTGTATATCCTACATCTGTTGAAATTCCGACTGGTCGACCAGTCAACTCCAATTGAGGGATAGATCATCTTCAGCTCCCTTCCTTTTCACAGCCAGGCTGATCGCGTGGTGAGGTGGCACCGGCAGCCCTTACTCACCGCCCGTCGTTTCGGGCCAAACTCACTCGTGACTTGCTGGATAAGGCGCAGCCCGGGACTTGTCCCCAGCAGAAGGGGTCCAGCCAGTATCGACAGCCTTCGTTTACCATTATCTAGCTACTTTTTGCGACAGGCGCTGCGTGTGTGATAATTCTTCCATTATGAGGGCCACCCCGGCCGTCAAATATCCTTGGTCTAAATTGCATCTTCCGCTCCCCCGTACCCCTCGTCAGTCCGAGCAACTCCTCAATGCCATCACATCCTCCTTCCGTCGTCAGCTCGATCGTGAATATCCGACCAACAACCCTTCTACATCCGACCGTAATGAAACTTCTGCCGAGAATTCACCAGAAAACCCCCATTCGTCTGCTCATGCGACGGATAGGCTTCTCCACAACATCCTGGACAACCCGCTTTTCCGGGTAGCCCCATCGGCGTCTCCCATCTCCAGCAATGCGTCAGGCATGCGCGATGCCAAACAACGAAGAATGTTGACAGAGCCTATGGTGGTATTCGACGAATTGGCGGCGGCAGGACATGTCACTAAAGGCGACCTTCTACAATGCTTGCAGTATCAGTTAATGCTTGCAAGAGGTACCGGTGATGACTTTGTCAAGGCCATGAAAGATTCCAGAGCAGGGACCAAAGTTGTCAATTGGTGGCTTGCATCAGGTTGGCGAGATCGGTTAAAGATATTTGATCATCGACAGACGTCTGCCACCTTGGTAAAGTTCATGGTTGCGGAGGGCATGCAAGATACTGTTCTGCTATGGTTGAAAATGTTGGCCAATACCGATCTTCGGGCCTTCAACGGCCATATCAGCCGAAGCCTCGCCGAGCGTGTTGCTAGAAACCTTTTGACCGATTTTTTGGCCGCTGAGAATCAATATGGGGGTGGCTTGGCCTCCGCTATGCGATACTACGTCCAGGTAGGAGATATGTATTTCTCCATGGAGGATCTGCATAACAGACGTGACACGAAAAACCTTCTTCGACATGCCGGTAAATACCTGTTTCAGCAGGTCAGTCGGGAAGTACCAAATGATGAAAAGATGGTTTCTGCAACTGTTTATGAAGAATACGCCAGGGTGATCGCTACGGTGTGTACGGACTTTGTCACTGCCTCGGTGGCTCTCTACCATCCCACAGTACCCGATCCGAAACCCTTTCTTCGGTATGTGTATAATAAGGATATGCCAACTTTGCAGACGTGGCCGGCAGGCCTACGAGAGGTATTTGTGCGCAGTGGCTCGGTCGCGCTCCGTCTTTTGATGGACCAGGGGAAGCGGGGAGATGCCACATGGTTGGCAGGTATCCTGCAGCACGTGTCAGACACGGATAAGGCGAAGGTCGAGCATGAAGCATCCGCAGATGAAAAGGCTTTGCTTTCTCGACTACTCCGAGTAGACATGGCGTGGACCTGATTGATGTAATTATTCTTCTACAGCATTTGTGGAATAATTTGCGAAAAGTCTCCATGCAATGCAGCTCCTTAACTGGGCTAATTTGCGTCACGGATCCTAACGGAAGCGCGCAGATCGATGGGATGAGATTCGTCAGCCATGTTTCGCCGTCAGCCAGCCAGCAGCATTGTCATTGCGACAGTCACACCAAAACACCAATCCCCCCCGACATTAATACTCCGCATCGGACTCCACTCCTGCCGCTAAGGGATGCTTTCTCCTCTTTCTTGGCGTGCTTACCTCCAACGACAACCCCGGTGCAACTAGGGCTTATCTCTCCCCCCTCGGACTGAGCATCGGTGCAATTCTTAGTGGTTCTTTTCATTTCTTGATCTGGAATGGAAGAGGGGACAGCCGAGATTGAGTTCCGCGTGAATCGGGTTAGCGCCCCTGATCGTGCCTTAGTAAACGTCACGACGCAACCTCACCTCGTCTTCTTCTCGGACCTTCTCCCAACAACCGCTTCGTCTGAACAGATGATCTTCAGCTACTACTTCGGGCATTAATCGGCATACCAGTCGCATATCATTTGCGATCACAAGATTCGCAGGCAAGCCGGGACACCATTGACGAAACCCCATAATTTCCCGCATTATCTAGTAATTGCGGGCAGTTATGGCTTCCGAACCCAGCAATACTTCCAACAAATTATCAGGTATGTCAAGGACTGGCTTTCTATACCTCTCGTCTTGTGGTCGCCCCTTGCCAAGCCTTGTTATATACTTCAGACTGATATACTGACAATTTAGAAGAACAAGAGCCAACAAATGGCGCCAATCTCCCAGCGCAGCCATCCAGCGCAACTGAGCCTGCCGATGAGAGCAAACCTACTTCAGACATCAAGACCTTTAATGAAGTGAAATCTACCGATGAGACGAAACCCCACTCACAGGTTCCCACATCTGCAGATACAGCTCCCAAGGAATCTGTTACCGAGTCGAATGTGGGTGAAAAGCGGGAGCACGAAGTAATACCCACGACAGTGGAAGCTGCCAAAACTGGCGCCGATGATGCAACGGAGCCTGCAACCAAGAAGAAGAAAAAGAATGATGCGGAGAAGAACGGGCCAAAGACCGTTCCATCAATTCCTACGACTGCGAAGCACACCAAGAAAGGCCAAACTACAAATGGGGACAAGAAGAAGGATGGGCGATCGAAAGTTGCAAAGGAGCCTGCCAAAAGAGACCCTCCCATGGATGGAATTAGTAGTCGAACTCGCAGTCGCACTAAGGTTGCTCCTTGAACCGTCTAATCGTTTGTCTCAATGACGTTAGTAGCGGGCTTTCACCAAGATGGCACTTGTCGGGAAATAGATGGAGGTTAGGGCACCGCTTGTGTACGAGACAATCATTGCCTCGAATAGCTGAATACGAATTTGATTAGTATGATAAGCCGAACGATTCTCTATGCCATCGAAAACAGCCCTATCGTAGCCATGTCTACCACTTCTATTAACTATAAGCCGTTTCTAGGGCTGACGTCTTGTAATCGCGGTATCACAAATCGCCGAAATCGGCGATGACAGTGCACGCTGAGTCACATTCCGGGACGGAACAACCACTCTTCTTCCCCGCTATCACCAGAGGGGCAAGTCTGTGTCATAGGTCCAGCAGCAATAGCATTAATTTCTCGTCGAGAAAGCTAAAATATCTGATTCTGAACATCTACTCTCTGCAGATAACAACCAATTGTCATATTATAACCATGTCTTCCAACAAGATCTGGCTGCGTGCCGAGACCAAGCCCGCCGAGGCTCGGTCTGCCTGTGAGCATTAGACCTCAAGCCAATTGCACATTACTCTGGGATGCTGATATGCTGCAGTGACACCGACTACCTGCAAGGCTCTTATGGATGCTGGATATGAAGTGACTGTTGAGCGCTCTACCCAACGGATTTTTGATGGTAAGACTGACTTCCTATATCACAATCACAATGACGTTTAGGGGTACACTGCGGCTGGTTAGCAGGTGTATCCCTTAATGTTTGCTATCTCTACACTCGGTTTTCAGAGCCTGTCTAACATGTCTATTCCTTTCTAGACGAAGATTTTGCGAAGGTATGCGTGGAAAGCATGTCGCCCTTTCATCCGTACGGAATCTCACCTCTCCATCTTACAGATTGGCGCACCGCTGGTGGAGGAAGGCTCCTGGGTGAAGGATGCCCCTAAGGATGCCTACATTCTGGGTCTCAAGGAGCTCCCTGAGGATGATTTCCCCCTTGAACACGTTCACATCTCCTTTGCCCACTGCTACAAGCAGCAGGGTGGCTGGGAGCAGGTACTCAGCCGTTGGCCTCGGGGAGGTGGTACTCTCTTGGATCTTGAATTCCTTACCGATGATGTTGGTCGGAGAGTCGCTGGTAAGGACTATGCTTTAAATGTGTCCCATTACAGCAGCTGATATTATGCCTTAGCTTTCGGTTGGTCTGCTGGTTATGCAGGTTCCGCTTTGGCAGTCAAGAACTGGGCTTGGCAGTTGACGCACCCTGAGGGCGAGCCTTTGCCCGGAGAGGTCCCGTACATTAACCAGGATGCCCTGATCGAATCGGTCAAGAAATCCCTCGAGGATGGTAAGAAGCAGTCTGGCCGCTCTCCCAAGATTCTTGTCATTGGCGCCGTGAGTTACCCGTCTTGTCTCATACAGCAACACTTCTGACAATTTCACAGCTCGGCCGTTGTGGTAGTGGTGCTGTGCAGCTCGCCAAGGACGTGGGTATTCCCGACTCCGACATCGTTCGGTGGGATATTGAGGAAACCAAGAAGGGTCAGTTGTGTTTAGCTTTCTGTCGTTATCGTGCACTAACATCAATTGCAGGCGGTCCTTTCAGGGAAATCGTCGAGGATGTCGATATTCTCGTCAATTGCATTTACCTCAGCGCACAGATCCCACCCTTCGTCACTCCAGAGACCCTCACTTCACCGAAACGCCGTTTGTCGGTCATCTGCGATGTGAGCGCTGATACGTAAGGCTCCTATTCTCCAACCTTGAGGATTCCGCTGACCATTGTATGACTTCTCACCGATAGTACCAACCCCCACAACCCTCTCCCTGTGTATTCTATCACTACTACCTTTGATAAGCCTACTGTCCCCGTCACATTGGCAGGTGGAAACCAGGTCGCTGGCCTGAGTGTGATCAGCATCGATCACCTTCCGTCTCTTCTGCCCCGCGAGAGCTCGGAGATGTTCAGCCAAGCCTTGCTCCCCAGCTTGCTCCAGCTGAAGGACCGGCAAAACGCCCGCGTCTGGAAGCAGGCTGAGGATCTTTTCAATGAAAAGGTTGCTACGCTGCCCGAGTCCCTGCGGGCCTAAATGATGCACTTCTCTGAAATCAGGCTGGCTTCTGAAAAAAGGATTTTTGCGTGTATTATGGTTACCGATTGATACGATGCTTTCCTGAAAATCTCGATGGTTTATGGATGTTAGCATGTTATGATATGAGACTATTGACTAGAATAGAGGCAACAAAAAGTGTTGTTAGAGTAGAATCATGTACTATGGAGTAACCTCCCACAGAGTGTAAAGTGCTAGTATTTCGCGTGGTAGATTTCCTTTGTTTCGTGACTCGGGCTGAGGCGGAGGCTCAGGCAAATAGAACATTCGAGTGCCCCTCCCCCTTCTCACCCCGATCACACCGGGCACCCCCGCACATCATTGTTTCTCGTGGGATTCGATCGGAGTTCGTGCTCTTCACCTAACTTGCCATGTACTCGCAGTGGTTGTCAGCTTGATAATACGCTTGCTTCGTTACACTGAGCCTCGCCATGCATGCTATTACAGGAGGCAGCAAGGGATCCGCGTGCTCTATCGACAGGAGTGAGCCCTTCAAGCTTGCAACCATCCCAGTCTTCTAAGACTACAGCTTTGCGGACTACGAGGACTGCCACTGGGAACTTTTCGTTGATCCTCAGATCTGCGGAATAGTTGATCCATAGTGAAATCCAAAAAAGTAATGTGGGGATCATGAACCGCCGTGGGAAACGCCGATGTCTCCCGTCGGTGCGCTGAGCATGGCGGGTGCTCGGCGCTGAGAAACATCCGAGAATACCAAGGAAAACAGAGAAGCAGCCCTGCTACCGCCCATCCAACGAGAAGTCTTCCATTGCGGCTACCGCGTCGAACAGGTTCGTCGAATATTCTCGTGTTTGGCATGCACCGGAGTGGGATACCAGCCGCCTCATTACTCTATTTCGGTGAGAACGCTGTCATTGGCGGCCCCCCTCCTGTCTACCTGAAATTACCCCATGCCCTCTCCACACCCTCGGTTGTATGGGGGAACTACTGCTGACGGTTATCCCGCTCTTAGCCATCGACAACTGATAAATCTCCCCTCTGATCCCATGGATCCCTGAAGCCTGTGTATATGTGAAAGGATACAAGTGCAGGAGGGAAAATTTCGGCTTGGCTCGTCTTCTTGGCACCGGAGTTCCGTGTCTGTTTGAACTACGCAGCTTCATGGCACATCTTTCGATGGATCAACCATAGCATTGACGTCGACGACCGCTTCTCTCCGAATCCCAATCCTCCTCTCCTCAGCTACACCGTCTGGCACATATAAGGTGCGATGCAGGAAAAATCGAGCACTGTCGCCGCTTACGCGGCCGGAGCATCTCTTGCGGCTATTGCTTTATTCTACGTCTTCGGCCCCAACTACACTATCGATGGAGACGAGTCACAGGACAGTTCCCGCAAGAAAAACATTGTTGGCTTGTCCAACCCCGCCAATGACTGCTTCATCAACTCGGTGCTGCAGGCTCTTGCAGGGCTCGGTGATCTGCGTGTCTACCTGATCAGAGAGCTCCACAAGCGTGAACTAGACGGTTCTGATATATATAATGAACTTCCTCCACCGGCTGATATGCCTCGGGATGCGAAGCCGGACAGGATAAGGGAATTGCAACAGGGGAGTATTACCAGAGCTCTCAAGGAGATGCTCGACCGACTGAACGAACGCCCGATCTACAAGAAAACCATCTCCGCGCGACCCTTCATCCAGTCTCTTGAGTACGCCTATCGGACGCGGATCAGCCGTAGCCAGCAAGATGCGCAGGAGTTCTTGCAGATTGTCGCAGAAAGACTTTGCGATGAGTACCATGCCGGCGTGAAAGCACGACTACGAGCGAAGGCCATACCAGAGTTGTCGTCAGGCCCGGAGGCGGTAAAATCAGGCGATGAATCTTCTCCCAAAGTCCCTGCGGAAGTTGAGGTGCGGATTGATGACGGATCTGAGAACGGCTTACCCGCTATTATCGACAATAAACTCAAAGAAATCGACCATGAGTACGGCTTCCCTTTCGAAGGAAAGCTCGAGTCCCAGATCGAGTGCCTGTTTTGCCACTATCAATACAAGCCTAATCAGACCTCCTTTGTAAATCTGACCTTGCAAGTGCCTCAAAAGAGCTCTACGACGCTTAGCGCCTGCTTTGACGGTTTACTCAAAACTGAATACATTGAAGACTTCAAATGCGACAAATGTCGATTGCAGCATGCTCTTGAGTTCAAGACGCAGGAATTGCACCGGACCCGCTCCAAAGATGACCGAGCTAGGTTTGAGTCAGAAATTGAGCGAATCCAGACGGCCCTCGCTACAAATCCAGAAGGTCCTTTAGAGGGTGTAATCTTGCCACCTTCTGACCTCGCCCCTAAACGAAAGATTGCGAGACATATGCGGATAACGGCCTTTCCCAAAATCATTGCCATTCATCTTTCGCGATCGATCTTTGACCACAGCAGCTCTTCCAAGAATGCAGCCAAAGTATCTTTTCCGGAGCGGCTGCCGCTCGGTGGTATCCTGAGTCGAGAATGGTACAGGCTGCTGGCAATTGTCTGTCATAAAGGCAGCCACCATAGCGGACATTACGAGTCATTTCGACGTAATCACCTTTATCCACCCTTCTCAACGCCAGATGTATTCAGCTCGTACGCTCAGAGTCGGGCAACTAGCGAAAACCCATCCGAAGCGCCGAGCCCTCAGCTAAAGGCTCGCAACTCGTTCGAGAGCGAACCGGCGCCCCTCAGCATCTCGACATCGATAGGGTCACCGACCAGTCCCTCTCAGCTGCAACCGCCCCCGTCACCGACTCCTCGACCGACATCGAGCCCACGGGTTTCTTTCCAGAGCACTCGCTCGAAGTCGTCAGCATCTAAGCAGAACCTATCGCCCGTGTCAGACCCGCACAGCTCATCCTCCACAGAGGGTGGGCGCTGGAGCAAGTCATTTTCGCGCGCGTCGTTCACCAGCGATCGCAGTACGCCAGCAACTTCGGTTGAAGCTTCAGGCTCCAGCAGTCGGCTCCGTCGACGCCGTAAGCAGAACGATCGATGGTGGCGTGTCTCGGACGAGAAAGTCAAAGAATGCAAGACTTCCGATGTTTTG